TATGTGTGTGTTTCAAGAGTTTTTAAACACCCACAGCTTCAGTTCAGATGCCGTGCAGATATTCCTAGGAAGGTAAAACTGGAGTTTGATTTTCATTTAGTGAGTGAGAAAATGTGAAATAAAAGAATTGGTGAGTCATCTAGTGATCTCATTAAAGAGGAAAATTTCTAGATTCTATTCCCAAAATAGAACTGTTATTTTTATATTTTCTTTTTGTGAATGTGAAATAAAATGCTTTGTAAATTGTGGAGTGCTGTATACACAACATATTAGCAAGAAACTGGGTTTTTTGTTTTGTTTTGTTTTGTTCTGTTTTGCATGAAGCTTGGAGGAATTATCTTCTGAGATCTGTTGAAACCAAAAGAGGGGAACAATTTAGAGATTCTGGTAAATCGGCAAAAGAAAAGGGCTCTTTCATTCAGTGAAAGCAATGTTTGTTTTGTCAGCATCTCCTAGAAGCAAGGCTGGTTGACTAACATGTAACAAAGAGATTTCACTGGTGTGTCTGGTTATTTCACGGTCGAGACCTCAGCGGTTACCCCAGGTGATAGCGGTGTATTGTCACCATGTGCATGCAGTCTGAACGGAGAGCCAGGGGACTCTGAGACAGGCCACAGTGCTCAGAATCCCAGGCAGCTCTGGGAGCCAAGGGTGACTCCACTTTGTCATGCTTGTGACTCGGCCCCCTCTCTGTGCTTCCTTCTGGATTTCTTCCTGTTCCAGCATTGGTTACTTCTTTTGTCTCTCCTTGTTTCTGCCTCATGGCTTCTGCTTACTACTCTCTGTCTTTAAAAATACCAGTAAGCAGCATTTATTGGGACTCAATGTGTACCAAGCAGAATTTCATTTTTATTGTCAGAACAGCCTTTTGAGGTAGGAATAGGGTGCCTTCCTTCTTTGATTATTCATGATTGTCATCTCCACGATGAGTGCACAGGAATGCAAAAGCCATCAAAACAGAAAAACTTCCACTAATCAACTGAAAAGCAATGCATTTTACACTCAATACCCTCTCCCCACTTAATAGTGGTAATTAACAGTCACTAAGATATAATGTAGATGGAGGGCAAAGCCTAAGAGCAAAATTTGCAAAAGATGCAGAATGTCAAGAAGTTGCTGTCAATAGGAAAATTATTGGTCAACGAGGGTCTGGGAGTGTGGCGAGTTAACAGAGAACAGGGAACCAACAGGTCTGGGTTAATTTTGTTACTTGGAAACTGGGTTTGCTGTTCTGCTGATTTGAAATATACTTTGCTTACCTTTGGTATGTGCACTATTATATAATTGAATGAAGCACTAACATAGGCCAGATTTTTATCCTTTTTGGGTCTGTCAGGCTTTCATGGAATAAGAATTAGGCTTCTGAAACATAATGCCCATGATTTTGACTGACAGATGCTTATGGGG